TAGTACATTAAACGCAAGGCAGTAGAAATACCAACTTATCAATTCGCGGAATTATACGTTTTTCTTTCACCTCTAATACTAAGCAAAGCTGCAATGACTCTTCGAAGCATATTCATGAATTATGAAAAATATGATAACGACGACAACTGACACTTCATGTGGCAGAATCGGCTTAGAAATAGTTTTGGCATTGGTGTATATTTGAAAACAAAGAATATTTTAGGAGAATGATTAGGAAGTCTAAAGGACGAATCAATCGTCTTATAGAGGAATGCCGATACCTAATATTTTGCTATCTCGTGAAAATTTTAATAATAATTGTAATTTGTAATATATACAGTATATATATATATATTCAAAATTTTTCGCGTTTAACAATAAACGATGTTCACAAATCCACGTATACATGATGGAATTTATTTTGATAATGCACATCCAGATAAACAAGGCTTGAATTGGTTCACTGTTCTTTTTTTGAGCAATTATTATGTAGATTTGAATTTGCTTGAATCACAAATCTATGAAACCGAGTGTTATACGGAAAATGAGTCTTATATTTTGCATGGAAGTGCACGAGCAGGTTTGTTGACAAAAGTTTCTCTACCAGTTGACTTCCTTGTTTATATCGGCATCTGTTGGGAAATACAGACCCATTTAGGATCCGGTTACTGGTTATTTATTATTTATCTTCGAGGTACAATTTTAAATGTTAGTCTTCTGAAAGACTTTCTATTCAAAGTTCAATTTATTTTAAGGTATGCCCTCGATTTTATGTAAAAAAAATTTTTTTATATATATATACCGTACCCCAACTGGCATTAAAAAAACAGACACGACACATAATTCTGTTTAGGATAATCGCCTTTCATTTCCAGTACTAAAGATTTCGGTATTTCAGATTTGCATTTTCAGAACATTTTCTCAAGTTTTCACAAGTTCATTAGTTATGAATTGGAGGAAAATTCAGGGAGTCATTGAGTTGAGGTTAATTGTTATCAGCAAACAATAGTTCATCGATTAAAAATTGATTGCTACACTCTTTGGTTACAGTATCTTCACGAGCCTTCAGGCTATATAGTCGAGTAATTGAATCAGTCTGAGACTGTAAATAATAAGCTAAGCAATTTTCTCGGGTTGATACATTGTTATTGGCAGTATTAGTTCCCTTGGGGTTAGGAAAATACAAAAGTCGAAATCTTTTTCCTCTTTTCAGGTAGATTTTTAGTACTCTTTAGGATTTTTCAAACTGCAGTCTTCAATTCGCTAAATTTTTAACGCATGTGTTGTGCGTCAATTACCGAATAGAGGCAGTTTATTTTCCAGTTAGAAGATGGAAAGAAATTAGTTTGAGTTTAACGGAATTCATGTTCAATCGGAGGCATTCCTCTGAGATGAACTACCCCTTTCGTTTCTACATAAACATGCATTTTAAATCAGTATGAGACAAAGAATGCTCAATTGCTCTCATTTCTGGGAATTAGAGTGTGATAATTTTTTCCTTATATTGGTAGACAATCGTTATCATTCGTTTGCTAATGCTTCAGGAATGAGATTGACTTCGATTTCTCAAGTTCAATAAGCAGTTTTGCAGTTCATTAGCTTTTCCGATGTCCCAAATTGAGTTTGTCGCTCAGGGAAATAAATACGCATGAAATGATCAATAAATCCAAAATCGAGGAATAAGAACTTACATGGCCGAAGATAAAAAATATATTAATATGCATGGCTCAAATGGAATCAATCCTGTTCATTTCCAAGCGCTTTGTAATGGCAAATCTTCAATTTACGTTTCATTCTTGTGCGAATCAAGCATTGCCCTTAGGGTAATATGACAGATTGCAAGGATTTCAGCATTTTACTATATTACGTTGATCCTACTGCCGGCGCCATAAACGCACGTCAACTTCATAATACCAGTAGTACAATGATTTCATAGGGGAAATGTGACGTCATCCTTTCCGTTGAATATTGAAATCCATCAGACTACGATTGAGCTATGAACGAAGTAAGCGTGGAAGTATTCGTGTTATGAAAGGACGAAGGCTCGTTATTGGGACACGAATTCAGTCGTTTTCATATCATGATTCAATTAGAAAGCAATAATACATATATATCTATATTAGGTAATTGTTCTACCGCTAACGTATTTAGGACAGTAAGAGTACGTTTGCTCTTCTTTGTTTAAAAAGTATTATTGTAGTGAGATGTCAAGAAGAAATTAACAGAAGAATGGTGTTTTAGGAAGCATCTTAGGAAAGTAAACATAGTCGATATCTGATGGAGTATACTGGCGTGTTGAGCGGGAGGAATTTATTTCGCCAGTTTGGATTACTTGCTTGGTAATATTTGGAAATGAAAAGATCAATCCTAAATAAGTCTTTGCTTTCTTGTTGGGAATTTATGAGTTTGACCTCATTTTACGTACATATCTCGCTGTAAACTTGGAAATTAGTCTTTGTACTCCTTGTTTATTTGCAATCTGACCTCAATCGATACAAAACAAATAAACATACAGACAAATTAAATTGTAACACTGAAGCTCCCGAATAATCACGTTCAGGAAGCTGAACTTCAAGAAATTGATCGAATTTTATAATTATGCACGGCACGAATTCGTGCTTTTTCAATTTTCATTTGACGAAGAACGAGAGAGGTGGGGCGTATTGCATAACAATTTCTATTGCGGCATTAAAATATAGCTTAAGTGAGAGGTATAAGGGTTTGGTAATTATTTGTGAGAATACAGACGGAAAAAGTAGTCAACAAAGTATACACTCAGCCATTTTGGCAAGGTTGAACTAAGACGTTGAAGATTATTTTCAAACTTCCATATTCGGAATATACCGTAACGAAAAGAATGTATTGAAATTTGATGCGTAAGTGTTTCGTTGAGACGCCCCCGTCACACTTCTTTGCAAGACTCCCAATGAAATCTGAGACGACATATCTTCAAGCTGAACGACACAGCTTTAAAAGCTAATATCGTTTCAGTGAAGTTTTGAATCGAATTGCCAAGACTGTATATATGTAGGTAATAGCATTTGTTCCAATATTACCGACTTTTGGAATTTCGAATTCGGTTGGCTGATACTATGGAATAATTCTGAGCTTGAATTAACCATTATTTTTGCCGCCATTGTTGCAACAATAAAAATATACGTAAGCTTTTAAAATACTAGTGGCAGAGCATTAGTTACGTTGACTATTCGTGTATAAAAAGTAGCTAAAGCGTTCGTATTTATCGATATTGTTCGCCTAAATAAGCGCTGAATAACAGCGACTGATGCAGTTACTCTCATTAATGAATATGCTTTGAGAAACAAGTTCATCCATGTCTGGCAAATAATTAAGGTATTGTAGCGTGGCCCATGCTGAAAATTTATGCAGATTTTTCGACGAGTGCAACTGAAATTGTGTCATGATTGCTTAGGTGCAGTCCATCAACGTATAAAAACGGAGTAAAAGTATTTCGAGCAGAAGATAGCGATCTGTTTACTCTACGTCGACGCAACCTTCAGGAATGTTGTATCGTAACGGCTCACTGATTTTCAATGGCTTTCGCTCTCTTACTTTAATTCAGCCAAGTCATGAATCAATTAGTTCCAAATTTTGTTTTAGGCTGAGTTCATTTTATTTTTATACAGATATATATCGTTTCGGTCAGGCATGAGTGTTTTATAACAATATGTGGATAAATGGGATTTCTGTGCTTCTTATAACAGTGTTGACGTAGTGAATATGACGTAACCCCACTTCCGTTTACTTACTAGGGATTGGTACGTGTGGTTTGCGGTATAATGTAATCCTTGACTTGACCGCGTGTGGGTGTAGGCTGATTAAGAGGGCATAACGTCTTCAAAACAATTTTCATGGAAAAGAAAATAGTATTAGTGGGTTTGAACTGCTATAATGTTCTTCCAGCTATACATATACCTGTGCTGTGCTCAACGCGGGTCTTATGTAATTCATATTGATGACATTCCAGACTTTTTAGTATTACCAGAATATTTCACGCCCAAATGAGAGAGTAATTTGACTTGCCCAGTTATTGGATAAGAGTGCGCTGAATACTAGCGTCAGGGGTTCTAAACCCAAGAAACAAGGGTAGATAGTATTTAAATGTCACCAATGTGATGTTTTGAAAACATTCTCCAGAGTTTCTCTGTTCGTTCTCAATATTCAACAATTTTAAATAGGCTGCCAGGAAATAAAAATTCCCTACCTAGTTTCCCACCATTTTTCCGACCGTTTTATGAATAACTAAGCAGCTATGTCTAGCCAATCCGAAGTACGATAACAATTTGGGTGCTATTTACCGCGGTATCCTTTTATTAAATGGAATTTTTGATGACAAATTTGAAAGTCGAGTAAGGAGAATTGTTCATCAGTCCACCTATTTTAATGTCTGTCTACCCCGCTGGTTTAGTCAACGACATAAGTACCGGCATATTAATGTTTCATGCTAAAATGTCGCAAGAAGTCGAAATGCGTATTGTTTATTCAGCAAATAGAGTACTCGTATCGCGTAGGGACATTTCCGCCAACTGGAACGAATCGCTTGAAAGTCCTAGTTTTTACTCTTTACTTCTGGTTAAATGTACATCAAGTAAGCCAGAACTGAGTACTGACATTGTAAGGTTCGTCTTGGGATTCACCGATATCTGTTGAGGCGAATCATTACAGCGAAATTTGAGATTCTACGAAAATATTTCAACTGAGATGGCTTTACAGAATTAGCTTTCATAGAAAGTTGGAATTGTAATAGACTAGAAAGTCCATTCTGTTTGTTACAACATTTGAGGTTAGCTTAAAACAAATTGAACTAATCAAATCATGAATGGACGTATTTCGTCAACCGTTTAGCTTTAAAAGTGTAAGCTTCGTGGCTTTTGGTTAAGAAATCCACTCCAAAAATGAATGGATGTCAAATCTTGACATGGAACGATTGAAAGTAGTTCAGGTTTACCGCCATTAACCACGTCGCTTTAGTTTTATATTTTACATTTTTCAGAATAGCAAAAATATTTTCATCCAATTGTGGTGACAATAATAGCTTTAGTACATACTTGAGCGAGTGGATAGTACCACATCAAGTGCCCGCATCATAGGGCCTAAATTTGGAATATTTCCCGCATAAAGAAGGTACGAAGGTACACTGCACGGACCTCGCCCGAAAAAGTAAAGTAAAAAACCCGCAAAATGACAGAGATTGAAGTCGTATCCGGAATAACGGAGGTAAGAACTAAGAATGCAAATATTTTTCCCCTTTCCCCGAACGTTATATACTGTTTCATATACCTGGTACATACTGTATTTATGTTTATGGTGTATGTTCGACCTCGAACCCGTACATTTGTTGGAATTGCCATAAGTGTTATTCACTACATATATTGGATTCGCAAACTTTTGACCACATGTTTGGTTATCGCGAAATTATTTGCTGGACTGGATGGATGGATGGATATTTCACGTTTAAAACTATGAGAATCTATCACTCATTCACATACTATATCAAAATAGATTCTACAATTAGAATAGATAGATTATCAAGTTCGATCGTTTGGTTCGCTTTTACCGGGTTAATTTACGTTAGCAATGGAATACAATTCTGTCCACTCTGAAATGTTGGAATTAACTGTCGTTTTCTCTGCTGTTAATTGATATACATAGTTGTTTTCCAAATCTAAGTTCAATGTCTCCAAGTGGAATGTTTCAACATTTGTCAAATATATAACACGTCACAGTTGTTACCGTTATAACAATACACATCGTAGGAGTGTTATCTCTGATTTCCCACGGGGGCGTATCAAATCTTCTGTAGTTTTGATCACTAAGTATACGAAATTGTCCCAAATTTGTTTGCCGTCGACTTAAAACTCCGTCACTCCATATAAGGTACAAGTTAACGGAATAAGCAGTGACGTGTAACGCTCCGTAAGTCAGCTGTGTCGATAAAAATGACGTCATACATAAATGAGAGTCAAATTGAATTAAAAAATTGACGCTATTACCCTTACTAACAGAGTACGATATTTTCAATATTCGGAATACAATATTTCGATTAGATTCCTTTGTACCGAATGAATGATTTAAAAATAACTCGAATGACACTAAGATCAGTAACATACAAAGCCTTTCAATTGGAAATCGATATATAAATCATCCACGGATATCTTGATATTTTGCACGCCACAATATTGCTGGTATCTGACAAGCTTTAGTGCTGCTCATCATCTGGTATTGAAAATTATGTGTGAACAGGTTTCTTGACAATCACCACAATTAAATCTCGTAATTTTTTTAAAGTTGGTATCAGAAACGCCAATCGCTTCCTAATACGCAGAAAATCAACGTGTATCGGGCATCGATCGTACATGGAGCATGAATTTTAATCTCAATAATAACTGTTAATCTAGTTAAAATTTTTTTTTTGGGAGCATGCCATTTATCTCAGTTTATTTGTTGAACCAAGCTGTTAATCGAGTATTACAAATTGATATGGTAAAATTTGCCATAAAAAATAACAATATTACTAAAATTTGTGATTACAAAAATGTTATTAAATGTTATCTTGTTATTAACATCTCTTACTGTTTTCTTTACTTCCCATGAGTCCTAGACTTTTCCGGCAGTATACATGTGTTCATTAGCCTTAAAATAAGCTTGATTCATAATAAGGAATTAAAGTAAATCGCCATAGTCATTGTAAAGAATATGTTCAATCCACGAAACGAATGGGACATTTCCATAGTAATCTTTTTGTGTTTACATGCATGTTTTCCTTTTATAGAAAGTGTTGACGCACGAAGTTGGAGCGGGAGCGCCGTGTCTAAAATGCGGAAATAAATGCCCGGGATTGGACTTGCATTTCTGGAGGTTAGTTATATAAATGATAGAGGCTATTTTGTTTTCGAACCTGATGCCAGATTTTACCTCGAGATTTAAGCACCGACAGCGTCCAAAGTACGGTAATTCATATCAAATTCTGGACAGGAGATTCAATAAGTCGTTGTGCCGTAGCCATCGCTCGTATTTACCAGTCGCTATGTCCTGAAAAATTCCACAAAAACGGTATTATTGAACGATTTTCTTCAGAAAAATTTGTCGTAATTGTAAATGCAAGCAAGAAGATCATGCAGTCCAAGAAGAAGTTTCAAGCAGAGGAATCGAAAATATCGGAAAATTATTGATGCATGATCAAGGCCTAAGCACAGAAACAAATACGGTTCCAGTCAAGAGAGAATCACCCACAAAACCTAAATATTCGTCTCCAGGTACATTTTACTAAAATGCCTTATGAATGAATGTCGACTCCAAGCGATTTCAGACTGTTGTGTGAAACAATTTCACTCCGTAAGATTAAGATGCCATTTGTGATACCTACTATACTAGTATTACTATAGAAAGAGATTTTAAACTTGATATTGGAAACACTTGGCGTATCGGACAGACAGGAATTAGTGAATGCATATGATTCATCTGTATATTAATCTGATTAATTAGTATTCGTTTTCTCTTCCAATGCTGTCTATTATCTGATAGCGCAGTATTTCACAAGATCTTGACAATGTTGTAAGTGCCATTGTTTCGGATAAACTTTAATATGAAATAGTACTGCAATAGTTTTTTGCCATTCCTAATTATTTTGCTGTACCGAGTATTAAAATTTGATACACTAATATATATAAGATAAAAAATTTAATAACTCTGTATGTTTCAGATAAATCCAAAACACCAGTCAATGGTCATTTTACGGTTACAAAGTAAGTATTCTCTTGAATTTATGTTTCAACGTGTTACAGTTGACCAACTAAACTAATCTGTATTAAACTGCACATGTATTTTTAACTACAAGGTAACACTTCCCATCAATATTTTGAATGCATACTATTACATATATAAAATCTCCTGGCATTGAAATCATCAAAGTGGGACATTATATTTTTAAACAACCAATGATACTATAGAAAAATATTGTTGGAACTTCCTACTTGAGAACACAATCTATTCATATAAAGCTTTAACGTAAAAAACTTTTGAATTTTCTTATGTTTTAATTAACTTGAAGGAAATTGTTTGCTTATCGAAGATTCTCTTGTTTTCATTTAGCAATTATTCAGACCCCGCTCCGCCCCCTCCAGTACGAAATGTTGAGACAATAGGAACAATGAGCCAACAACCACTCAAAGTAACAGTGGACATTGGGGGGAAGCAGCATCAGCTCGATTTCGGTGGGGCTACTCTTGATCCATCGTTTCCCGCTCCTCCTCCACCTCAAAACAATACGAGTGAAGCCCCTCCTATGCCTCCACCACCAGCTGAACTTGCAAGCCCAGATTTACCACCTCCACCACCGGACATGCAGTCATATGCACAGGTGGGTTTGAATGACAACAACGAGAAAAATAATTGGCGTTTAAGATGTGGGAACCTCCAGGAGGACTTCATGATTTATTCCGGGCATTTTCCTCGATTTATATTACGATTTTATGGGTAATATAAAAGTAGGAAGGCGTTTTATTACCTGAAAGACCCACATATCGCAGCGTCCAAACCGGACATGCTGTAATATAGTTTGTTATAAATGTACTCCGTCGATGGAATCTCATCCCTGTACGCCTTCATTAATTACTAATTTAAATTTTGATGTCTTGAAATGTATCGACTGATTATTCGAACTCGCCATATATTGTTTTGTTCAGAATCCACTTTGATTCTAACTGAAAAATTGTCAAAATTCAAATATTTGATTTTCAGAGTACATCACCCCCGGTTCCTCCAATGCCGCAAGAATATGACATAAAAGTACAGGAACCAACAAGACAAACATACACATCTTCAGTGTCAGTAACAACCACAACACAAGTGAGAAATTTTTATTTTTGAATTCGATCGCATAGAATTTCACATAGTCCTATATCCCGCTCGGGAAGTGGGAAAACGATGAGATACGATCAGATTATTATTATTTATATAACTGTATGGTGCTAATAAACGGCAGATAAATCACGACTTTACAATTGGTTGCCCAAACGGTAGCTCAACGTTTGGGATGCGAGTACGTCGTGCTACAAAAGGCATCGAACATGAAAATTTCAACAGAACCTTCAGTGTGAAACAGTAGTAGAATTGAGCTGTCCAACTACTAATTGCTGATGCTATTTTTGACCACATTATGATACATTGGGTCAAATTATTCTATACTACTATATTTTCAAGTAGTAAACGAAAACAATATTTCAAAATTAATGATATATATTCACCAGAAATGCAAACTACGTTTATTGTTTGGAATCTTCAACATTTATATTAGTTTGGGAATGCAAGAGCAAAATATTATCTGTGAGTATAATTAATTCCCCCCAGTGTATTAAAATGAGTAAAAAATTTATTAATCAACCCAGCGTATGTTTGATTTTGATTAATTACATTTTTTTTAAAAATTTATTACTCTTTCTATCCATCGAATATCTACAACATTGAAAATAGTTCAAATTGTTTGTTTATTGCTTCTAAAAAGGACTCCCACACATGCCCTGCACAATAATATAGAATTATCATCAGACAACAGCATTTTAGGTCGAGTATGCCAGTTTAATTGTCAACACCAGTCTCGTCACCATCTAACATTATAAGTCTTGTTATCTGAGTTTTACTACAAAATTCTATCAATTTATTTTCTTTTTTTAGAAAGAGATTCCTCCTCCAGTTCCTCCTACTGATCGAAGAGATTCATCTTCATCTTCTTCATCCTCTGATGGCGAGAAAAGTGGTGGAATTACATACGAATGGCAACCACCAGTAAAAGATTCGAAACTGGTGAGTATCAACTTATTAATCTGGGACAACGAAATATATCAGTCTATATAACCTACATTATTTGTTGGGGTTCATTGTTGACACAGAGGCCTCAGTATTTAGATTTGTTTGTCACTATAAAATCAAAATATTTTTTATTAACTTTATGTCTCGTATTTGTCTGATGCGCTCATACACTCTTAAACTCTTAAATTGATGTTTATATATTTAATTTTATTCGCCAACCAAAACAGACATGAAACCAGATGTAAGACGATATTCACTATACCAGGGGTGGGCAAGTATGGCACGCGTGCCAGGGGTTGCCCACCCCTGCACTATACTATACTGTAACAAAACATACCCAAATTAGACAGTTAAATTCTGTAATGGAACGTTGTGTAGCCACGGCCAAATTCATTTCTACCTCATGGAAGATAGAATATCCCCTAACCCTCGTACTTTTATACTTCATAGGCGAAACAATTTATAGAATCTTTGCCCAAAGAGAAACAGCCAATTAAAGGAACGGAAGGAGGACAATACAGACGTAAGCAATTGATGAGGCAACTTCCTCCTCACGATCAAGAACCAAGTGCTTGTCATGATCTCACCTCTCAAGAGAAACAAGAAATGGATGTGTTTGTAACGCAATACAGGGAAAAGGCATTGGGAGTTGGTAATGTGGATGGATCTGGAAAAATAAAGGTATATTTATTACTACTACATCGTTAATGTCAAAATATGAAAGCGCGCAATGTAGATAACCGCAAGATGTTGATGAAGAGCTGCTTTTACCAAATCGTAATATCCGTTATCTGATAAAACTAGAAACACATAAAAGATGAGTGATACTAAAATTTAGAAAAGATTTGGGTAAAAAATAACGTCAAATTAACTATAATTTCACAATAATATAGTTGTATAAGGTGTCATACTTACGACAAGTATGGCTTTAGCTATATTATACAACGAAAAAATTCCAATTATCAAAATTGACCAAATTCGACCATTTAACTTATTGTGATCTTGGACATACGGAAGTAAGTAATTCTGTTTTTTATTTCTTCATGTAATTCTGTATATTTAACTAACCGATTGCCCAGAGTTTGTTTGATCTGCCTCAATACCAGTGTTATTAACGCCAGATTTTAATAACTTCGTTACAGAGTTGTACCCATTGTAATCAAGGAATAAAGGTAGGAGACGTCATGGTATTAGCCGAAAGAGCGGGGCCGAATAAAGTATGGCATCCACAATGCTTTGTGTGTTCTGAATGCAAAGAACTTCTAGTCGATCTGATTTATTTTTATCAAGAAGACAAAATATACTGCGGAAGACATTATTGCGAACTTCATAAACCGAGATGCGCTGCTTGTGATGAGGTAAATTGTACTTTAGTAACATTCACTGACTTGTAAAATAGTACTTTAGTTGATAAATCTCATGTAATCATATTTTTTCTTGAACCAAAAATATTTTTATGCTTTGAAAATGTTTTTGTGGTTTTAAAATTGGCTGTTTGAAATTGTTTGCGAAACAATTTTTTGATTTTATTAGTTGGGCCGTTTTAGTAGATATTTTAACGTAAACGATTTGAAAGTTCTTTATTCAAATTAATCGTATTATATGTATTCTTTCAATATATATTGTATTGGGTAAATTGGGAGATATTACGTAGATTAAATTCGTGGTTGAATATAGGCCAAAGTGGTTTCGTTGCTCGATAATCTGATTTGGTTCACCGCGACTTCCCTTCCTCAGTAAAACTGTATAATTTTCATTTTTCATTCTTGTATTTTCGGTGTTTTATTTTGTTTTCATTTATTTACTGGTTGTAAGAATTTAACTTGAATTAGCAACGAGAAAAAGTAAATTATTAAATTAAAATTTCAATTGGAACGTTGATATGGATATGGTGTCATTTGCTCAAAAACTTATTCGAGATCAATCAATACGAATCCCAATACCTTAAATATCTGGTGGGCCCACAAGATCATCAATGCTTTTTTGTTATCTATTATCATCTAGTATTCAAATTTTTATACAAACAAGATGATTTTAAGTTGAATCAGTATGCTCCATCAAGTTTGCTGCTCGCCAATAGTTAATATTTAAAACCCATAACCTGCAGGGTTGCATACCACGGAATTTCTGTAAATGTCTGACACTGAACATACACCACTGAGCTTTGCTAAGTGTAACTGCTTTTAACCCTGTTGGGCATCAAATTTATTTACCTACTTTATTTACCGAATTATCATAGTTTCTGCGTAAAACAAAACCTAGTTTACTTTTTATTTCAGTTGATATTTGCACCCGAGTACACCCAAGCTGAAGATTGTTATTGGCATCTCAAGCATTTCTGTTGTTGGCAATGTGATCAGCCATTAGGTGGAAAGAATTACGTTCCCCATGACAACCAACCAGTTTGCATTCCATGCTATGAAAAAGAATTTGCCCATAGATGTGCTACATGCAAAAATGTAAGTTCATTGGACAATTTCGTTTTTCTATGAACAAGAATTAAGACGATGATATTATTAACTACTGAAAATGCAATCATATTAGTAATATACATGGGTGTCGTGTGGCGAAATCTGTTCTTTGTTTTACGTTCTTTCTGTTGATTAGCATGTGAACCCGGTCATAAAAATGCCAGAACGATGTGCAGTCGATAGTTTAATGTTTGCATATTTGAATGTCATAAAGCATAATCATGCACAAAAGGCAATGTGTGATCGCCTGCGCCGCCACTCATTTACATGCATTGGAATAAACTCACTATATGATCCCATGCGGTACTATATCAAAGCCTTAATTGATAATCGAGTGAAGCGGTATGAGTTAGCGATCACGTTGACTTTTACACTAGGGATAAATATGAGAGATGTTATTTACTTATGTACATGCTATGCATTTTTGACTAGATATTAATTCCTACATTTTAAATAAGATACTGAGATTAAAGGAATATTTGTATTTCAAATGCAATATTCATAGAAGAAATACACAAATTAATATTTAATGCCTTCATTCACATTTCAGGTGATTGCTCCAAATATCGAATGGGTGACATTCCAAGAACATCATTGGCACGCGTTACCGGAATGTTTTAGATGCTCAAATTGCAGTCAATCCCTTGTAGGCAAACCTTGCATTCCGAAAGGAGATATGGTATTCTGCTCCAGCAAGTGCAAGAAAGAGAAACTTCCTCCACAGTAAATCGATCGATCTTTTTATCCCATCGAACTTTTTGATGGATGGAAGATATTTCATGAACAACTGTACAAAACCAAGTTTATATAGTTATCTCAAGATTATGCTTGGACACGAGTGAACAGAACATAAAATAAATGTTTAGCAATGATAAACAAGCAGCATCTTTGCGAAAAATTTCAAATTGCAAGCGTTTTGAATAACGCACACATACCAGTTAATTGCATATATTTTAAACAGTTCTTGCGATCTGACCCACAGAGGAGAAATTTTGTCGAATGTTTTTATATAATTTTTTTGTATTATTATATTCTATTATATATCACTTGGTGATGCAACTAGGATGCACTGCAGCACTGCCATAGCTCTCTATTTCATCACGAACGACATTCAATTTTTCAAAAAAGTCCGGCGCATGCATAAAGTAACCTGTGATCTATTTCACAAACATTCATAGAGAATCGCTTTTAAACCATTCCAATGTGTTGAATAAGAAAGTATTTTGTCCATAAACAAGATCGATCGTCTCAGCAAATTTGATAGTTTTTCAACAGAAAATAATTTGAAGCATCGCAGTAGGAATTTGTTAAGAATATATTAACACAACAAGAATCGAGGGAATTTGTGGTAAAAACCGCTTTCTCACCAACTATTGGACTAATCAATTTAAAATCTTAAGTATTTAAAGAAGGAAGGTTACTCAGTTTAAATCATTTCAATTTTTTCTGGTCTATGGGGCTTTTGTTTACCCCCTGTTTTTCTGATTTTCACAATTTAGTTTTCCGACTAGCGATTCTGTCTATCGATTGCTCACGGAACAAGTATGTTGATATCGACATTGAACATTCGTGGCCATATATTTGCGCATTGCTATAGCTGCACACAGTAATCAATTGGAGATTTATATAATTATTATTAAACAATGTTTTATCGTTGATGGCTGCATTTTGCGATTTGATTCGATCTTATATTTTAAAAAGAATATACAATTTCATTATGTCTATGCTTTTATGTTGAAAACAATTCAAATTTTTCAAAAGGCTTATTATAATCAACATTCCTTTTTTAGTAGTTTGTTGCCATTGTAAATTACATAATAAATGCTGACGTATTATTTTATTACTTGAATCAATTCCGAAGCCATTTTTGGGGTTCATATTCACTAATAAAAGATATTTGTTCTTATTATGAAGACTTTTGTAGATGTCATCCATTACGCTGAGATTAGATTTTGCAGGCCTATACTGAGTGATTTTATCAAACGACCAAAACGATTTCTCTGTCGGCCATGGAAGAGCTACTTACTGCATCATTAATAAGAAAATGTCGGACAGACACCACGACATATCGATCAATTTTACACAGCGCAGCTTTGCTAGATCAGAAAAAAATTCTGGACAAGAAAGTATTTTGCCCAAATATTCTGTTGCTATAAAAGCGACTATCTAAATGTCAAACAAATGTTAACACCCAAACAACTTTACAGAATTGGCGCGGACCATATGACCCATGCATATGGAACCATTAAATGAATGAAGAGTCTTATAACCGATGTGGTTACAACACAATTGCTCCCGTGAATTGCACCCAGGACATTTGCATCTGCATGCTTTTGCACCCATTGTCGTCTGCACCAATATATAAATTGCATCCTTGGACATTTGCACCCACGTTCATTTGTTCCCATGGACGTTTGCACCCATGTAGATTTTTGCCCATTCATACTTTTACCCATAGACACTCGCACCAATGAACTTTGCCTCCATGTACATTTGCACTCAGGTATATTTGCACCCACGGCCATTGGCATGCAAGGATATTCGCCCCCACGTTTTTTTGCACTTGAGGACGTTTTCACCCATCTACATTCTCATACTTGGAGATTGGCGCCCACAATGTCCGCGGGTATCTATTATCAGGTGCTAAAAAAATCTGGGGATGCAAAAGAATGCGGGTGCAAATATCCTGGGTGCCGTTTACGAATGCCAATGTGCATGAGCGCAGAGATATAGAACCACCTGATATGTACTATAAAATTTGACAAGAAGTCGAAGTGTGATATGTGATCAAGCGGTTTTATCTTTTGCTGGAACAAGTATGAAAAAATACTATTCATTATTGCATCGATTACTCACAATGGTATATCATACAAGCATTCGAAAAATATTCGAATCTGTGCTTCTTCATCGAACGCGATTGCCATATACACGCCGTTTTATCAGTAGCGTAAATCTAAACGTTTTTTCAACAAGGATATAAAAACACCCAGATAATTGGGATTGATATCATCCCCAGCCACAAAAGTATAAGGTATTGTATGAGTGAGCTTGACCAAGTTCACCTGATATCGTTTTTTTACAGTTTGAGCATTTGGAAATAGGAAAATAATGATTTCCACTTATTAATTATACAAATTCAAATAAATATTTTTTTAGCGACTAACCGAAACTAGGCATGGTAAATGGGATAAAGTAAGAGTTTGGGTATAGTAGTTGAAATCTCGTTTGGGTATAGTAGTTGAAAATGGTTGTAAAGGCAAGCGAGGGAAAAATAAATAGTCTCCAATATAAATAGCCATGACAACTTTATATTGGCACTTGTTTAACTTAACCATCAATGCAATATACCATACATTATTTGCAAACACACATATATCTACACGACATCATACCAGTTTTTAAAGCGTGTTGTCGAAATTTCAGATCTGTATATTTGAAGTACGAACAGCAAACGTAATGTGTAGGTTAAAGGGTGGGACAATATCCACTTATTTACTATAACAACATGATAATTTACTTTACTTTACAATTACTTCAGTCGTGCGTCATCAACTAACTTCGGGGCGACAGATTAAACATTGAGTGGATCAAACAAACTTGCTCAAGCAAAACTGAATGGAGAGGGTCACTGTGAGAAATTTCGTTAGATGTACTTACATTTTATTATCAAGTCTAAGCCAGAAACTGTTTGCTTTGCTTGGAATAGTTAGTATCGTATCGTTAAATCTTTGTGCACATACTTACTCATTCAGAGACATACTGTCTGAGAAACTGAGACATACTACCCCAAATTCAGTCAAGTTGTATATTAGAAGTCGTAGTGCGCCAGACCAAAAATCTTATAAATGGCTATTTACTAGAACCTCAGTTCCCAGCACCGTACTTTCCGTAATCAATATAACTGTGGCCCATATTTCTCAAATGTAGATGAAAAAAGTTTACTTACCAGAGTTTTGTTTACCTATAGATTCCTTTCGTTTGCTTCATGGAGACGTCGAGCCCGCAAACACAAGAATTCAAATCCAAAAGCACTTTCCCAAGCCCCTCATAACCGCAAAAATTTGTAACTTGAGAATCGTTTAGCTGATCAACGCTTTAACCGTGAGCAGGCCATGTTTAAAGCATACTGTATCATTATTCAAGTTTTATGCTTGACTAACAATAACGTGTGTATATGTTTAGACTGAGCCATATATAACTTCATCCTACCGAAATTAGAAAAGGTTGTCGCTGTGAAAAAGTTTATTTGCACAACGGCATAATTGCCAACGAATGTATATAAATAAACCTATATCAACACGACGACACTGGCCAAGGGCATCGTATACTATATCATATCAAGGCGAAAATGACTCCGCCCTTGCTAATGGATTGGAGAAGTTTAGTTATAATGCGTTAGGATTTAATCAGGGAATACAACATGGAAGAGACATGCGAACGCGAAATAGATAGTAAGGAACTTAGATTAGAGGCACAATAAACCTGGTATAGAATGGGCACTTGTTACTTGTTGCGGCCATGAATAATACAGTTGCTGATTTTAGTTTAATAAATATAAGATTCTTTCATTTGATCCATTACCTTTATGTAGTCTGATATGTCTATACTGTCTTGGTTGTTTAGCCTAAATAAGCAAGTCGTATTTGATGGCATCGAGTTTTAGATAAAAGTAAATTATTTATTTCAACTGATTTCAAAAACCCTCCGTTTACGTACATATTTAAGGGTGAATACTTCAAAATTTGACATCACGAATGAGGTCAAATTTCATTACATGAACTATTTTTAATCGAAAGTATTTTGGGCGGAAACACTCCTAATCGCCTATAATATTACTTCAGAATTCTGTCCCGTGTTCAAAATAGGTGAAATTTAAGTTTATTTTTATTTTTTTTTAATTTTTTCACGTCATATGGGTTGTGTCTAAGCGAAGGATACTTTATTAAAGGCCAAAAGTGGACAAATTATAATCAAGTGCTCACATTATAACGTTTGTCACAAAGTGACAGTTAAATTAAGAGCATAAATTCCATACAAACAAAAAATTTAATTTCTAAAATTTAACATCTTTAAATTTATATATTTTGAAATTGTTCGTTTTTGACCAATTGTATGACACACTCAAATGTATTTTTGAGAGTACTCAGTACCTATTCTGAATTGATATTAATTATCTTAGGGGTGTAGAGATGTAAAACTTTTTATTGAGTATATGGAAGGGTGATATATGAAGATATTTTGATCAGGAATGATAAACCATTTCAATAATATGTCTGCCTGAACATTCGAACTCTCGAGACCTTTCTTGACGTCATTATTAACCATTTTGGAATGTTGTTTTGATTTATTTCGAGTATGCTGTTGTATACGTTACAGACGGTATATGATTTCCACAACCACTTGAAAAAATAATACACAATCAGAGACAGTCAGGAGCGGGTCGCAAAGTGAATGTACATTATGTCGCTATCCATTTGTGGCCTATATAAGAGCAGCAGGTCCAAACGCATAAGATTATGGTAAAAAATATTCACATTAGACACAAAATATACTTGTTTCAGCTTGATTTCTACAATGCAATTAAAATGTCTAATTTGGTGACAAATACCAAATTATATCTGTTGTTTTTATGTCGTTGTTTGTTTGCTATTTGACTAAAACGTAGTCGTTAAACATTACATTAATATTGACAACGTTATTCATTAGTTTCCCTCAAGCCTAACATGGATCAGTTGTGGACCAGAAGCCTGTAAATACTCGATTATTCAGACGGAGATTATATGTAGCAAACATGAGTATGATGTTCCGCAATTTCAAACATCAATGCTTTGAAAAAAATGAACAAATATTTAAAATTTTGCAACTCATTATATTACTATCTGTCTATATACAATGAAAACTCTTTGGCCAAATTTGGGATGCGATATTTATTATTCATTTTATTTTATATCAAATTGTGATCGCGAGTGAAAGACTATGAAATAAAAGTGAATTTTTTGACATTTATGAGTGTAATACTGGACAAAAACACGTTGAAGTAAACATTCATTGAAATTAAATCTGTCATAAAGAGTGAGTGTTTACTACGAGGGAATTTAGTTTAAAATATCCATTTGGAAAAAGCAACCAAACGCCTTGAAATACACGGCCGTTTAAAATAACAAGAACCACGAATTTGGATTCCTTTTGTGCTAATAGTTTGAGGTGTTTTGTCAAGAACACCTTTTTCTTTTTGATATGAGGTTGAAACTGTGTTATAATGAAGTGTGGTTTGATATCATGTATTGAAGTTGATTTATATTATTGTTGTGAAAGCACCATTGAGAATATTGCAAAATTAGAAAAATAGATGACGATAGAAGAGCTGTAGACATCTAATCTTGAAATAATTAGAAAACAGTGTTAAGTGGGTTTGGATTCTGGTTCCGAAATCCTAAATTGAATGACTAACTACAGGTCTCCATGGTTACCTTTTGGTAGTAACAAAGTGCTCGGTGCTGTTCTGTATGTGGTTCATATACTGGTCAAAGTTTTTTCCAAGATTCATTTTGAAATGTGAAAAATCAAATAAGATTTGGATATGAGAAATTCATAAGGAATGTCTAATAACGGACGATTAGTTTCCAAACCTAAACAATCAGGGTATATACGAGTAGAAAAAATCAGATTCCTGAAAGTGTACCGTAAGATACTATTAACAGGCTGTTTTCGAACATTGTGAAGACCGTTGGACTTGTTTGTTTTACCTCATTAATATTCCATTAGGGTTAATGAGTATCAGACAGAGTTGAAGTATATCATTTCAGCGCATAAATGAGAGCATAGTGCTTTTTGATAACAGTATACCAAATTAAAAAGTAGTTTATGTTGTCTTTGTCTGTCAAGGAAATCATTTATTTGTCGTTTT